CTGCTCAGGTCCCTTCCGACCCTAGAAACTATGAAATTAGGTGTCAAAATATTTGGATAAACCCTTTTGTTTAATAATCAGAGTGCTGGCTCACTAAAAGACAGAGGAGGCAGTTAGCTCATTGTACATACATCCAGTCATTTCCCTGCAGGAACTGCTTGCCATCAGAGGGCTAGATTTTTTTTTCACCTCCCCCACTGTAAAAATGTTAAAGAAAGAACGAAAACAATTGTCAATGTGTGTTTGGTAGAGCATATCATTTTTGCCTGTAAACTTGGTAAACAAATATATATATGCTTTGTGACATGGATATGAGTTTCACTAACCTTGCATTTATCCATTGGTCCAGTCTACAAGAATGTCAAATTGTGGTCTACTGAGAGCTGGTTGGTCAAATGGTGCTGGCTCTTCGTCTTTATTTTGAGTTGCTAAACTGTACTGAGAGAGCAGCTAAAAGTTAAACATGTCCCTAATGCTGTTTTTCCATATACACAATTGCTCTAGCTACCACAGAAAGTTTATGTGGCTGTGAAACTACTTTCTCTCCTTACTATATAGTCACAAACAGGAGTAGGGGTGCCCCACATGATTGTGAGCAGACTGGAAGGTAGTTCACTACCACCATCCTGTATTCAAACATACTGCTTGCTAGGAGAAAGTATTGGAAGTTTTGCTTTGCCTGATTGATAACAATTGGGTGCTACAATCACTGTAACATTTGGATGCTACTTGGTTAGCATATTGGTGCCCTATATCAACTCTTGCCTTGTTCCTGCCTAGCCATGTACTTTGTGTTTGATATTATGTTTGGGAAATAATGCATGGCTGCTGGTCCACACAGAACATCAGAGCAAAACTGGTTTCTGATAACCATGATGAATACAGCATGACAAACACTCTTGTTTGCTGGGAAGGTAATTTGTCCTTTTGTGTACATGTTCTTAACATTGCTTCTCTATGCATAGAAAAAATATGTACAAAAAACCACAATTGTAAGCTTGTATAATGCCCTCTAATTAATCATCTGTGCTGTGCCCCCTGTAAAACAATAGCATATGCATATAAAATAACTAGAGCTTAGAGAAGCTGCTCAGATAGTTTGGGTCTGGCACTGCTGAGAAATACCAAGCATTAGACTGCATAGGGAATGTAATGGAGATTAATATTAAAAATATAATAATGTTGTGCTATATACCGTGGTGTATCGATTCATCACTGAGACCTCTCTGCCCACTCCTGGCCACACTGCTTCACAAAAGGTCATAGATTCAAGATAGGTCTAAGGGTGAACAACAGAATTCATTGGAGGCACAAAAGGACTTCCACATGCAAAGAGACAGAAAAGATTAAAATCATTTAAAGCATATGTGATAACGGTTCACAGGTAATGTAACATAACAAAGGTATGTTGAGGCACTGTGATTGTACTATAAGAACCGGGAACAAGGGTCTGTTAAATTAAAGTGAGGAAAATTTAAACTGGAAGGCAGAAAATTTTAAACCGATACTAGAAATAAGTTCAAACCTATGATTAGTCTATGGAACTCATCATCACAAGATCTTCCTGATGCGAAGAGCTTAGTGGGATGTATAAAGAAGGAATGGATGTTTATATGAATAATGAGCAATTGCATAAAAAATCCAAGTTCAGGTTTCTAGAAGTAAATAGTAATTCATACTACAAAGCTTAAGCCAACCTCTGACTGAAGGGGTCAGAAGGAAATTTCTGAGAAGGCCAGTCCAAAATTGTCCACTCTTACCATGTCTGAGGCATCAGGAAAAGGATAGTGCTGGAGACAGAAGAGTGAACTTTGGGCACACAGTAGCTTCCAGGCTCCTGTTTGTCAGTGGCAAAGCTTCTGTTGGTTTCAGCAGTAAAGGATCAAGCTTTAAATAAACCACTAGACTTACCTAGCATGGCAATTCAAAGTGACAGCATTCGAGAACATGTTTTTACTGTGCCTCTCTTGCAAGGAGTGGGAGGTGGACCTGAAAGGCTGCCTGTGGCTCAGTCTCTGACCCCTTACAACCAAACCTATATATTTGTCCGGTTCAGGAGGCAGTCCAGCTGAAGCAATGCAGAGAGATTGAGGTTATTACTGTAGTGGCAGTATGCTTACCATATAGAGGGGGCCTTAAAGTCTTGCTTAGTTCCTGCAGAGTGGAAGAGTGGGGATTTGAGCCCTGATTTCCTGTGTACCAGCCAGTGCTGTAATTGCAACCATCTTTCTTTCGGAACTACAAACAAATGGGTCTTTCTCTATAGTCCATATGGACTAGACCTTTTGGGATTTATGAAAAGTCTGTTTTGTTTCCTTTTTACTGTTCAAAAAAAAAAAACAGCGCTTCATATGAAGAGCACAACTTGCCTCTAAGGCATTTTTCTAAAAGGACTGGCCTGGCACTTTCAAAATATTGCTTCCAAATAGTGCAATTTAGAAAGCTCTCAGAAATAAAATACAGAATGAGCAGCATTTAATGGACTGTTCTAATCAGGGGAAAAATGTGTTTGCAGTGGTTTGGTGGGGTTCATTCAAGAAATGATCAGATTGGCTGGATGATTCAATTGCATGGTCTTTGGAGAAATACATATATGCCAGTCAATCTTATTCCATCACTCTCCATGGGGACACAGCTATGGGCAAAAGAACTGTTCAGAAAAGTAATTTCACTCAGGTATGTTCCCTCCTTGGATATCAAAAATTATTTCCCATAGTTGCATAGTTCAGGATGCTGCAGGCAGAGCCTTGCTTTTCTTTTAAAAGCTCTCACTAGTGGTGGCCCTCATAATCTTTAGCCCTGTCTGTCTGCATTTACCACCTGTCTTTTGTGGGTATTATCAGCATGTCTCAGGGTAGCACCTTTGCTGAATGTGGCTTGATGAGGAGAGCTCATTACTCTGGCATCTGTCACACCCATCTTCACTTATAAAAGGCATCTTACAACCCTTTTCTGAAGGCATTTTAGTCATTCCAACTTTTTTGTAGCGTTTTCATTCAGTGTTTCTATGCAGTTAGGGAGAGAGCATTTTAAAAACCAAGGCCCCAATTCCAGAAAGTGCTTGAGTCTGTCCATATTAAGGACAATGCTCAGAGCAGGGCTGTCCAACTTCTAAGTTTCATATGAAACTTAAGTGCTGTCCTGCACAGGGGCCTGGTCTACCAGGAACAACTCTAGTGACAGGAAGATGAAATTAGTTCATGTCTAGCAAGCTTAAGCACTTCCACAGCCCCCATTACTTGTCATATCTGAGCTCCTTGCAAGCTCCATTGCGCTTACCTCTCACCACTCCAGTGGTGTGCAGGTAAGGCCCTTCATTATGGTTCCTGTGATGAGTTTGAGCCTCTTTCTCCTCCAGCTGAAAATTGCCCCTAGTTGACAGGTGTAAGTGGGTACTTTGTCTTTTGTTCAGTCAAGTCAAAGGCAGCCTGATGTGATACTGGCTATGTGGGTGCCACTGGCTGCAGAAGCTGGCATGCCTTTACTAGGCTAGCCTACTAGGCTGTTCAAGCTCAGGCAAACCATGGACTATTTTGACTCAGCTGAGGCCAAGAAATACCCTGATCCCTGCTTTGAAAATAAAGGTTTCCAGTAACTGGCCCTATGTTATACATGAAGGCTGTGGCAGAAGAGAGAATTTAAACTACATCTCCAGAGGTCTAGGCTGGTGCTCTAACTGCTAGGCTGTAATGGAAAAAGAACAGCCCCACTCAGCCCAGCTGGAGAAAGAAAAAGTTGAGGTTTACAGAAAATTAATGTAAATTAATGCAAAAAGAAAATGTATGAATGGGCCCTATGCTATGAAAATAAGTATAAGTGTTCAAATGCTTGATGTACACAAAGTCATTGACTTTTACAGGAAGATATCTCTGGTCAAACAAAGGCTTGATCCTCCCATGAATAGAAACTATTCAGAATAGAAACTACTCAGCTATTTTTCTTGCCACTGATGCTGCTTTTCTTTATAGAAAAAGCATTCCCCAAGTCATTTTGCAACAAGTGCTGGGAAAACTGACATGTAAAGTATTTTCTTCCTTCTCAGAATTGTGGTGCAGACTGCTTATGCCATCTTCAACTACTCATTGAGAAAACAAATGAAGATTGGAAACTCTGTATTCACTGCAGACAAAGCAGCTGTGCAAGCTTAACAGGTTTGATCCAAGCTTAAACTGACATGAGAGTTTCCATACATGCACCAAGTTGCACTGGTTTAACAAAACTGATTTAACATCACACCTATAGTACACCCACACATCTTGTGCATGTGTTTGTCTCCTAAAGCACAGGTAGTCAACCTACAGTGCACATGCCGTAAGTGGTGCAGGCAGCCTATGTGTGGCATGTGGCAGATTGGGTAAGGGACAGGCAGCACAACAGCAGATCAGAAAGCAAAACAGAAAGCAGAGCAGTAAATTAGGCAGAGAGCAGAAGGAACAGCAGATTGGAAAGGGGAAGGGCATCAGTGAATTCAGGGAGCCCAATCCTGCTGCTATTGGTACTAGGAGTCATGATTCACTGTGATTTAACCATGAGCATGACTGGAACCAGAATCTGGCTCTGCTAGCAGTAACAACAGATGTGTCTCCTACTACAAAGGCCCTGTTTAGATCTGACAACATGGGGCCAAGCTGGCTGCTTGTCCTTTCATATTTCTGTTCAAAGTCATATTCTGAAGGATCTGTACATACTGTAAATAAAGTAGATTAGGTTAACTTATCAGTCTTGTGCGGTTCTCTACTCATGACACACTCAAAAAGAAAATAGCCCATTCTTTCTTTGAATCCAGTTAATCACTCAGGTTCATAATGATAGGACAGAAATGATCATAGGCTAACTTAAGGAAGAAAATGGTGCAGGGAGGGGAGGATATTTCATACGTCAGCTCTTATCAAACCCATGTGCTCCAGGTCTGCTGGACCTGTGCTGAATAAACTTGATTTGGTAAATATTAAACTTCCTAGTGGTACTGACAGATGTATGTATTCAGGAGTGAGGCACTGTATACAACTATTCTCTAAATAATTGAATCTAGCTCTGCTTTGCTGTCGTGGGATTTGCATGAAAAGTAACTAAAATTACTGCAACAAATTTAGTTAGTCCTTGCTATATCCAGCCCTTGGCTGCATTAAAACAAAATGGCCAGAGATATCAAATGGACCTAATGCTACTATCTTCTTAGTGTCTCCTCCAGTTACTGCATTTGTGGCTTGTCATTCCCCATAGCTACACACCACATTCCTTCAAGTCAGCATTAGTCAATCATAATAGCATGTTCTGTCATCCTTAACTAGCTGACTTAAGGCCGTCCACCCAGCACCAAAGACAGACCTCAACATAGCTAACTCATTTGGCATTGCTACACTTCACTATCAACGATTTCTGCAACCCAGAGGTAGGTTTTTCAGTGGCATCTCATACTATTCCAGAACACTGAGCTTAGCAAAACCAAAACGTCTTAACACCAGGAAACTTACGGTTTTGATCTTGAATAATGCAGCACATGAGCTCGCTAGCTCTGCGCATAGGGGTACAAAGTAACTTATGTTTGTAGTACATATTCTTTTGAAGTGTAGCATGTTTGCCTGAATTCACTCTGGGGTGTACACATTGTGGTGGGTCTTTGGCTAACACATATTGCTCTTGTGCCTCCTAAGCCCATCAGGACAGAGTGTTTGTCTACGTTTACCAATGCTGTTGCAAGGCTTTTCTAGCAACAGACAGCAACAACCAGTGCCAAGCTGTTAAAGTGCATTCAAATCCATGTGCACCTACTGCCTGTGTACAACTCTATTACAGCAGTGTGTCAGTAAGTCATGAAGTACACTGTAGTGCTGAAACAGAATCATAGAAAAGAAGAGCTGGAAGGGACCTTTAGAGGTTTAAAACCAGCAAGGTAGACAGTGATAAATTCTGGGCCTTGATTTTGTTACCTTGCTTTAACTCTGGGCCTTGTTCCTGCACTCCTGGTATCTGTGTCTACCCTCTGATCTTTGGTTAGTTCTTGTTTCTGCCCCTCGGCTCTCATCACTGAAGCCGCTCTTGCTTCATTCAATCTCAAGACACAAATTCAGCATAGCTGCTTTAGTACCCAAAGGAAGATTAAGGTCCAGGCTAGTGTCCCAAGGAGTCTTTAAAGCAAATCTTCCAAGACTGGAAAAAAAGTGACGCATTAAATCAGATGGACTCGATGAT